CCTGGCTGGAGACACAGGGAAAGGGACAGCTCTGCTTTGAGCAGAGCAGGCACCAAGGGACAGTCCCTCTGTCTGAAGCTCCTTCATGCTCTGCTCGGGAAAAGCCAGGGCAGCTGAAAGCTATTCCTGGGGAGCCTAAAAACACCCTGGCTGAGTCAGCACCGAGGCTCTGCCCTGCTGGTGCCCACCAGGCCATGGCACAACTCCCCGAGCAAACCCCAGCTACTGCCTCACTGCAGGGCTGTGCTAGGACACCCCAGAGCAGGCAGACAGACAGGCAGGCAGACACATGCAGGGGCAGAGCCATGGAGAAGCAGCCCAGCTTCCCTGCCTCTCTGCCAGCCTGGATATGCATCAGGGTGAGGGCTGCAACTGCAGACACTGCAGACATTCTTCTCACTGCCAGCAGGCTGGAGCTGTGCCAGCCCCCAGGGCTTTTGCCTCCATATCTGCACAGGCCAGAGCAGCACTTGCACGGGACAGTTTCAAAGCCATCTCTGTTGGAGGACTTGGGTCCAAAGGCAGCATCTCCCACCCACATCCCACCACTCGCTCCCCTGTGTTCTCAGGGCATGGGAAGGAGGAGATGAGACAAACAGGGCAAGTCCAGAACAATGAGTGCTGAGCTCGCACCAGCCACACAGAGAGCCAATGTCCCACCAGCACTGCCCTTGCTGGGGTCCCACACACTGGGACTGCCTGCCCTCCCCGTGTCTGCTTCCCTGCTGCTGGGGGCCACAGGCTGAGAGCTCCCAGCCATCCTGTCTGCTTGGACACGAGGCAGAAGAGCACAGGTCAGTGATTCTGAGCCCCTGACACGCTGCTCCACACTGAGTGCTGGGAACTGGGACCAGGCTCTTCCCCACAACTGCACTGCAGCTTTGCCAAGCAGGACAGGAGCAGCACAGAACTGCAGCTCAGCTGTGGAGGGTGGGACTCAGGCAGGGCTATGGGACAGATTTTTTCCCCTCAATTCATTACGTCTCCCACAAGTCATGCACTATCACTTCTTGCCTCACTTGCCTGGATCTGCAGGAGCTCTGGAAGGCTTCAGCTGGCTGGTTTGTCCCCATGGCACCCCAGGCAGGCAGTTGGGCAGCTGCCACCTCCACAGCAGGCTCCAGGGAGCAGCCCAGAGCTGCCACCACAGCCCCGGGACACCTGCTCAGGTCCCAGGCTGGCAGAACCTGCAGTCCCTGTGGCTGACAGACAGCAGCACTGCACGGGGTGACAAAACAGGTCTGGGACCCAGACAGTTAAGAGCCAAAAAGATTAAGGCTTTCCACTAACAGTTTAAGAACTGGGAATACCAGATTTTGGCCATTTTGGGAATTCAAGCCTTTAAAGGGGACACTTCAGAGCCACAAAAACATGTATCCATACATGCATTCTCCTGCCATCCTTCCCAGTCCACACTGGTTCTAGTTGTCAAGGGGACGGCTCCCAAGGGCAACCTCACAAGCACTGACTTGCCAAGGCAGCTCTAAACATCTTGCCAGGGGCTGCAAAACCAACAAACAGCACAGCCACCTCTTCCCACTCCTACCTCCTCATTGGCTTCTGCCACTGCTCAGCCTCACCAACCACAGCATCACAGCTCTCCCTTAAATCATTAAATATTAGAAACAGAAGTTGGCAGGTGCACTTTTCAGTGCAGTTGCAGGTTTAAACCTCTCCAGAAGACCACAAGCACTTACAGCCTCCAGCTCCCAGCCCAGCTCCATGGCCTGCAGCACCTTATAAAGCCTTGAGGATTTTGCCACCCTGATGTTCACAGCTGGGCTGCTGGGCTGTGCTCAGCAGGCAGGAACGTTTCTCCTTGCCCTCCCAGGCAGTTTACCTCCAACTGCAGCCCCCAGGCTATGAGCCAAGCCAAGAGGGGAGCCAGGAAGCTGCCTCCCTTCCCCAGGACCTGACAGCAAGCTGCACTCTTTCTTTTTGGTCAGTCTCCCCCTGATGCTAAAAGCTCCGCTTGAAAAAATTGCTGACCGAGCAGAAAACACCACTTCAGTTTTACCCATTTCCTGTCATTAGATAAAACAGCCCCAGAGAGCTGAGCTCCTGCTACCCTGGGCTTTTGGCCATGCTACAGTTACTGCTCCAGCCACTGCCTTCAGCAGGTGAATACTGGCATCTCTTGATTTCAACAGGAGCCAGGGAACAGCATGAATTATTTGTGGTAAGGCTGACCTATTTAACAGCAGAAAGACAGCATTCATCCCAGCCCAGATTCCCCAGAAGCTGCTGGTGTCACTTTACCCCACAGGGTAACACCACCCCGTTGCTATCTCTGGGCATCTGTGCTTGGGGGGATGTGGTGGTGACCCTCCTGGACTGTTCCTGCCATGCTCTCAACGTTTCTCTTGGAGGACAAGTGGCACTTCCACACCCCTTTTGATGCAAACTACTCCTGGCCTGCAACTGGCTCCTGTGGGTCAGCTTTGACAACTGTTTTATGAGCACCACAGACAGCACACGTGGGGAATAGAGCAGGGTGGACCCACAGGCCCTTCAAACAGCAGAGACATGGCTGCTGGCAGCCCTGTTCCAGGCAGGTCCAGGGGATGCAAGCAGTGTTTGCAAGGTGGCTGCCAAGTTGTGCAGCTATTCAGGATTTCTCTCAGCACAGCTCCTTCTAAGCTCTTGTAATCTGTAATGCTGGCTCACACCCTCTGTGCACAGGCCAAGGCAGCCTGTGAAGGTGTATTTCACACTGAGGAGATGCTGAAGTCTTGGTGATACATTTCTGTAGACCAGCTCGGAGCCACAGATGGTGCCTTTGTGGGCCTTACCTTTGTCTGCCAGAGACAGTGTGCTGTTAAAGTACTGCTCCTCCACAGTCCACGCTGTGTCATTGATCTTGCTAGACACCCCACAGAATCCAACACAGCTCACCTTGATGGCTGTTGAGAGAAAACACACACATCAGTGCTGGGAGAAAGCAAAACCTCAGGATCAGACTTGTTTCTGGTGCTGCACGTGGCCTTGCTCAGGAGCAGTGCCCTATGAACACACACAGGGTGGAAAAACAGAGCAAAGGTACCAGGTCATGATTTCATGTCAGCAGCACGTTTTTTCCCCTTGCTCTCAGCACCACTGCACCCTCCCTGCTACCCCAGTGCTACTCCCAGCTGTGATACTCTTCAGCACCACTGAGGTCCTCGCACAGCCCTCCAGACTGAGAAAGCCCTTTGCAGCAGGGATTTCAGCTCCCCCTCTCTAGTTTTATCCCAAATGCACCAACATCCCCTCCCAACCCCAGCACCAGCTCCCACACTCAGGTAGCAGGGATGGTCTCACACCAGGGTGTCCCTGTCTGGACAGGGATGAGCTGTGGAGGGCTCTGCTGCTCCCACCCCACAAGGAGCTGGGCATCCTGCCCAGCATCCCACCAGCCCTGGGAGGAGAGACATGTTCAGCACAAGCCCATAACCCAGCTGAACAAGGTGCATAGCCCTGTCTGCAGCAGCAGCAGAGAGCTGGACCTCCCCAGTGCAGCAGGAGCAAGCCCAGCTGCTGCTGGAGCTCACAGCCCACTCACCCTCCTGAACATCCCCAGGAGCCTGCCCCGTGTCTGAGTTGGTGTCTCTGGACTACAGCACTTTGCCCTTTACCACTTGTCCTGCATCAGGACCCCCAATCACATTGATAAGCACAGTGCTTCCCAGCAGGCAGAGCTCCTGGAGTGGCTTCCTCCTCCTGCCAGACACAGAGGGCTCAGAACAAAGCTACACAGCAAGGGCTGCAAGCATTTGAGATACCACCTGACCCTCCAAAAGCTGAAAGAGTAATTTGAGCTGTGTTTGTGCCTTGGGAAAGTCGCCCCAGAGCTCACCCTGCAGAGTGGCTTTCGGATGAGCTACCCACAAGTCATTTTCAGATAGTCTTGGCTAATTCACAGCAGGTTGGAATCAAGCACTGATGTCAACACTGGACCACAGAGATAGACAAACATGTCAGACTGCCCTTGCTGCAGAGTAATTCATCTGCAGTGCTACCCCCACAGGGAGGGCACAGACAGTCCTATCACAGCACAAACTGGGCCTGCAGGGCTGTCCCAGCTGGAACATCTCTTGTCCCGATTCTCACCAGGTTTCACAACAGCTTTAATGGATCCCTCACTGGTTTGATCAGGTGAACAGACCTGCTGGCTGGAAGGTGCAGGGACTTGTCCCTTTTCACCTATCTGCTCCCCCCTCTTTAAGCTGTCCCTCACAGGAGGCATGTCCCTGGGAGGCAGGTGGCCAATCTGCATTGCCCTAAGAGCAAATGAACCCTCCCTGCTCCACAAACCTTCTCAGCCATTCTGATCTTACCACCGACCCCAACACCAAGGACTGCCAGTGATGCTCCCTGCAATCACCTCAGACCAGTTCTCCAGTTCTCCCTTGGCCAGTGTGACCATGTCCTCCACGTGGACTCAAGACAGGGTGGAAAGAAACCCAGACCCAGGTGTCTGCAGGGGGAATGCAGAGTCCTTCCCCCAGTCCCCTTACTGGTGCTTTGCTCCAGGCAGTCAGGTGGAAAGGGCTCCTCAGGGTCTCAAGTTTCTAATCCCACAACAAAGAATAGCCTCTCCCCATCAGATCCCCTGCAACACCTTCCCAGCCTGATCATGACTTGGAACACTGGGGCCCAGCAGTGCTGCTTCATACTCAAGGGCAAAGGATAAGCAACTCCAGATGCCAACTCTCCTTAACCAAACATCAACACAGCAGCGGGGCCAGGCAGGGGATGAGCAGAAGGGCATGGCCCACCCTGGGAGCTGCCCCCAAGACACACAGCACACCTGGTCCAGACTGACACAGGGTCCCTTCTGAAGCAAACCATGACACCCAACCCCCCTGCACCCCTCCAGGTGACACCCAATCCTCTCTTTTCCCAGATGGCAGAGACAAAGCCACGCAGGGGCTGCAGAGTCAGAAGGGGCAGGGAGCAGTTCCAGCAGGGTGGCATCCTGTGCACCCAGGTGTTGGTGCCAGCTCTCACGGTCCCACCTTGGACACACTGGCATGTTTCTGCTCCAGGTCAGCCTAGATAACCAGGATGGCTCAAGACAAATCAAGCCCAGACTCAACCACTCCACTCCCACATTTTCACACAGGAGATGTGAGTGAGAAAAGCCCAACCAAGAACTGGAGAATATTCACATCCTTCAGGAGCAACAGCCCCTGAACGGGCTCCCCCTCAGCCTCCCTTCAGCACAGGAAGGTTTATAGATCCCCACCATCTGTTGCAACACCCAGAGAAGGGGATGTCAGTCTTTAACTCGATCCCACTTGCTGCGCCCACTTGCCCGGTGCTGAGGCAACTCCTGCTCCTGGGAGGCAGGTGGGTGGGCATGTTCCAGCACATTATGGCTCATCTCCCTTCCCACAGGGACTCAGCAGTGGAAGGAGGTGGGTTGCAGCACACCCAAAGCCAACCCCTTAGCTGGTGGAACCCCCTACAACCCACCCTTAGGGCTGAAGTCAGATCATGTCTAACAGAGTCCCTGCAACCAGCCAACGAGTTCTGCAGCACAGGCTCAGGAGCTGTCAGCTCCAAGGCTTCTCCATTAATCACCAACACCCCAAACCTGGCGTGGTTGCAGCCAGCCTATGCCTACAGAGGAGGGGACAGTTCCTTGAGGGGAGCTCCCCACCAAGGACAACCCCCTCCAGCCATGTTCCTGACCATCACACGCTCCGGGCAACCAAAGGAGCAGAAACCAACATTTCAAGCTGAAAAGCCTTAAGGCAGTTTCACAGCAATGGAGAAACTCTCCCCTTTCCTCTGCACTCTCCAAAGCTGGCAGAGTGCTGTTACCAGGCACACCAAGTCACTGGATGCAGGACAAGCCTTGGAGGGGCTCAGAGGATTTGTTATGGGGCATCTTCTCCAAACTCCTCCAGCAACATGAGCTCCTCCTGCCTCACTGGGGGAGACATGGGCCAGACAACAGCTCTGAGCACAGGCTCTGCCCATGGCTGAGCCCAGGGCTGTGGATGGATATGGGAATTGCACATCCCAGCTCATCCCACAGGCTCCTGGAGGTCCCCAGCCCCAACCAGGGGCAACCTGCTGGGGGCAGCAGGTCCAGGGCAGCCACAGAGCCCCCCCAGATCACCCTCCCAGCAGGAAAGCCTGGCAGCTGCAGGGCTCTCATTCCTCCCAGGTTATCAAGAAAGCTCAACAGGTCAAACCATTTCTCTTACTCCTAACCAGGTTTTGGAGCAACAAACCATGAAATCAGCCTCTCCATCAGCATCCCATGGGCTGGAAGATACTGAGGACTTGCCCAGCTATCATGTATGGGCTTCTGCCCAAAGGCAGGAGGAGGGATGGGGCAGCTGACAGGCACGACTCAGGAATGTGGTGCTGGGGGCAGCTGAAAGCTAAAAACAGCATCAGTGGGACGGTCTGGAAACCAGCACCACCAGAGCTGCTGCAACTGGAGCCACCTGAGCCACAAAGCTTGTCAGCCTGACTGGCAGGAAGCAAAATGCACAGTCTGAGCCCTTCCAAGGAAAACCCTGTGCCAAGCTGCAGATAGAGGAAGTAAGAGAAGACTCTACATCTGAACAGGCCAGTTCCAGTTATCAGAAACCCATTAAAAATGGCTCAGGGATCCAGTGCTACCAGTGGCCCCAGTTACCACGCTCCTGCTCCCTGTTTACCCAGGCTGCTTCGAACAAATACAAGAAAAAAAACCACAAAAGTGCAAAAACTGAAAGGGAGGTGGAAGGGGGAGGCAAGCAGGGAAAAAACAAATTAGGAAGCCATGCAGAAGATGAGAGCCCTTCACCCCTGCAGTCCCCCAGGGGCTCAGGGAAGTGGCAGCTTCACATGCAGCCAGACACATCCTCAGCAAGGCGGTCCAGCACGTGTCAAAGGCTGGAAATAAGAGGAGACAGCTCAGCCATACCCATCTCTACATGAAGTAAAAATAGAGACACCAGGAGCTGGGCACGTCTGCCTTCTTGCAAGGTGATTTAAGGAGAGCAGCCGTAGACTTCAAATTGCTTTTCCAGGGAGGTGTCCTCCTCCTCATCGGAGTTGGCGCCGCATGTCAGGCAAGAGGAAGGCAGAGGACACGGATCCCCCTCCCCTGCCAGGCTCTATGTGCACATCCCTACTTCCAAAACCCACTCACGTCCTGGGCAAGCAGAGTCCCACCAGCCACCCTGCCCTTGGCAGCAGCAGGTCCCAAGTGATCCCCTCTGGCTCCAAGTCCCTCCCGTGTCACACACTCACCCCGACAGGTCTGGGCAGCGTGGGGGGAAGGAGCCACCAACATGGGTCTTCTGGGGTGGGGAGGGGAAGCAGCAAGAACAGTTGGGGGTGGTGGCTGCTGCATTTTATGCAGGACAAACAGACTGTCTGTCATTCCCCTTGCTCTGCAAGGACAGGCAGAGCTGGCAACTGAGCTCTGAAACAGCACTGACCAACAGCCCTGGGCTTTTGCCAGCTGAAGCTTCTCCAGTGAGCACAGGGCCTTGGCCATGTCTGTTGGACATGGGGGCTCCAGCCGCCCCTGCTGCAGGGAAAGGGGTGCCCAGCCCAGTGAGTGTGGGACAAGATGGATGGCAAAGGCACCCCATGCTTGCAGTGACCACACGCAGTGCAGGAGCTTGGGACACACATTCATAAATGGGCTCAGAGGGCAGCCAGGGACTGAGATACCCTTGGAAAGCTCATGCACTCCTGTATCCAGATAACAGGGGAGAACGTGCTGTGGGAGACAAGTGAGTCTGCAGCAGAGATGTCTTCATTTCATGGAAAGCAGCCACAGGAGGCCAGAGCCCCCTTCCTTCATCCCTCTCCATCAGAGCTGCAGCAGGCAGCTATCAGCACATTTTAATTAGATACGCTCAGAGCTGCAGGGACCCAGAGCATCCCATGAGCTGGGAATGAGCTGTCTTCTCCCACCCCAGCCTTGCACACCCCAGGAGACAGAGACAGTCCCAGGAGAGGTGGTGATGGATCACCCTGAGCCCTGCCCATTCCCTGGTTGATGGCAGTGGGGACCTGCCCAGGATGCTGCACAGCAGCAGCCAGAGGCCACCTCAACATCACAGCTCCACCTTGGAGTGAAGCCTCTGGGGTCAACAAAGATCACAAGTTTTGGTGTGCCCTGAGATCTTCTGGTCCTGTAAAGCCCCAGCCCTGGATCTGGATGAAGGTGACAGGCTTGGGGTTACCCACACTGCCAGCAAAGCATGACCAGATGGTGCTGGGAAAACAGAAAGCCTAGGAGACAGCAAGACACACAGACAGAGCAAGTTGCTCTCAGTCAGTTTGAATAGACTGTGTAATTCCTACCAAAGCTCCAGGAAGAGGGGACACCAAGGAAGCTGAGACACAAAAGAGGGGAGGGATGAGGCCTTGGTACTAATGGCCTTTCCACAGAAACACACCAGGACAACTTCAGTCACAAAGGGCTCGTGTTCTCTAAGCAGGAAAGCTGGAAGCTCACAAGATATTGTTACTCCCTCAGCGTCCAACCCTCATGCACAAATATACTGAGATGCTACTAATTAAACCAACAGCTCCTAATTAATTCTCAACTGTCCCCATCCCCCTGGCTCCATCCTGTCAGTTCTTGAGACACAAATTGTCTTAGGCATTTCACAAGCCAGCGAGGCAAGAGCAGATCTCACACCAACTGCTGGAGGCAGCAGCAGGTTTGGCACAAGGTTAAGGACTGTCTGGAGAGGTTTTTATCTTCTCCCCTCCTAAGAGCCCAGCACAGGGGCAGGTCATGGATTCAGCCTCTAATGTGGAAGGAGTTGTCTAGAAGAGTAGTTGATGCTTTCCATCTCAACTCAAGTTGAATTGAGGCCCCGGGAGGTGATTTGTCTGGAGCTGACACACATTGAGCAGCATCCCCCACACCAGCAGCAATCCTGTGACCCAGGGGGACATCCCACATCCCGCAGCCTGCCAGCCCATCACACCAGGCCTACCCAACACAGTCCTCTGCTTGGAGGCTACAGGCAGACTCCCAGTGAAACGTGCAGCCGTCGCTACAGCCTGACCTGCCTGTCCCTGTGCTGCTGCTTGTGGGCAACACTCCTGCACAGCCCAGCTGGGGCTCAGGACCACCCTGCAGCCCCCTCTGCACAATTTTTAGCATCATTTCGCCTCCAGAAGCCAGACCTGCTGCTCAGCCATTCCTCCCCCAGGTTGGCACTTGCTCTCTGCACCCTGCAAGAGGTTGGACCAGCCAAATCACTGCCAGTGGAAGGGTCAGTCCCTCCCATCCTGGCCCTGACCTTTCAGTGAACTGATTTCCAGGAGGGCAGAGCCAGCCTGGCAAGCCCAAGCTCTCAGCAAAACTCACCCTGAGGGCCAGAAGTGTCTGTTGTCCCTGGCTGTAACAACAGGGCTGTAGTTGCCTGCTATGGCAGGAGGGACCAGCCA